GCATGGTCGCGCGCCGTGCTTGTCGCCGCGTTTTGATTACGTCATCACAACAACACGTTAGGTTACCAAACTTATAGGTGCATTTGTTGTTGTTGAAGGCCTGGCTGTTACAGTCTTTATTTACACTATTTTGTTGTAGGCCTACTGGCCTAGATGTTTATTTTAAAGCACCTTGGCTTTGTTCTGAATGCACTTTGTTGTAGTTATCCTACAGAGAAAAGAAAATGCACTTGACTTGTAATTAATGTACTGTATGCATTCAAAAGTGCTGAATAAATGTTTTATGGACCCATAATAGTGATTATTATTTAAGTTAAGTTTTGCCATAATCATGTCTTTTTCCATAATCAGGTAGCTGAACAACATTGGTAAAAAATGTATACATTATATATATGTATACATTATATATATATATATTTCTATTAATCATTTTCGGCATTCGGTTTTCGGCCAACTGTTTCCTATTTTCGGTATTGGTTTCGGCCAAGAATTTCCCATTCGGTGCACCCCTAAATAACATAGTTCCTCATTAATACATGACCGTCTATACTGTACCTTTGCAGCCGTTGTGTACTCTTCCCTCTTGATCTCTCCACTTGATTGCCCGGATGTCTCCCTCCCAACCTCCATCAATGTGGCTGCCTGGAACTTCTTCAAACAAATAACCAGACAAAATGAATTATAATTAGGTGACCAAATTACATTAAAAGGTTTACCCTACCCTGTCACATCCACTGAGTGGAAGATGGTCCTGGATGCTTTCCAAATAAAATATTAGCAAAGAGGCTTTTTGCTGCTCTTTCATCAAAAGTGGAAGTGAATTGACATCTTTAGTGTGGCTTATCCTTCCTCATTAACATGTAATGTTATACTTCCAACCTGCGATTAGACATTACAGCCACTATGCTACGTTTCTCTATGGAAAGCATTAGGGATACATTTTTAAACGTAAATACATCCCTATAAAGATCATAAGACAATACAAAGACATATTTTTACACTAGCAATGCTAAATAATGTGAAAATGGATGAACGTTTTATAAAAAACTGCTAACATATTAACAACATAATCAATATAAATATTCTTTCAGTTTAATAGTTAGAGATTAAGAGATGGCTTTTTTCTCTCTCGTTCTTCCAATGAATCTCTTTCTGAAAATAGAATCCTCTTTATTGCAACCTCGGGTCAATCATGTTACCACAAGAGGGAATAAGCCCATTTGAAGCAGCCTTTTTAAGATCAACTGGGGACTCATTTCAGTTCCTTGCTAATGACCGTTAGCAGTAGTTCCTAATTTCTCATGTGCTTTGTGTTGTTGCCTAACATGCAAACTGTCAATTGAGTTTACCGCAAATGAGTAATGACAGCAAACAAGGGTGTTAATGTACGGAATGAGATCGTAGGACCCATTGGTACAACATTATTGATGCCTAATATAAATATTAATCATGACATTTTTTGTTATTGATCACATTGTTTTTATGTATATGCTGTGGTTGTCCTTGGAAGATAAATTACATGCATGATTCACATAAGAGGATTCGAGAAAACATTGTTTCCTTCTTTTTAAGTTGGTAGTGTTTTTAAAACATTTTCATTTAGCAAAAACAGACTGTTAATCCTTTTGCCAGCATTTTAAAACTTTTATATTTGATACGGTATTTTCCACTTGAACTGATAATCTTTCTAGCTCAGGCGAACTTCCTACAAAAGGTCCTGCCATAAAAGCACAGTCACTGAGCCTGAGTAAAACCATTAAGGAAATATGCTGTTTGAACTTGTTAAATTGATTTTGTTTTTGTAGCTCATGTCATTATTTGCTTAAACATTACAATAGTTAATAATTAATAGATAAATATGGATTTATGCTGCATACATTTCCAGTACGTGTATCCATTTCAAGCGGGCAGTTTACCTTTGATGTGGTTAAGTGTCACCCAGTAGTGCTCGTCTGGACTGAACGTGTCTTTGGACCACTCCAAGAGGTCCTGGGCTTTTGGGCTTTCCAGAACAAAGTCTACAAAAGCCCTTGTGAGAGCATAGTAGGCTGTTCCAAAATACACTGGCAGATTGTGTGGAGGATGACCTTTCTTCAGTCTAAATCTTGTAGCTACATGTGAGCCTACTATCTCCCTGTGCTGGAGCTGAGTCCTGTGCTTCATAGACTCGGGCTGCTTGACCCCAGGCGTCATGTTCCTGTCCCTCCACTGTTTGCTCTGCATGTACCGCACTAGTTCCAGGTTGCTTTTGACGGGGAAATCCTGTCCACACAGATTCACCACCTTCCTCCAGCCTATCTTGGACTTTGATAAATCCTTCATGCAGTTTATGTCCGCTTGAAGGCGGGAAAAGCCAGCGTATGTCACTGTCTCTCTTTGGCTGGAGAGGAAGGTATTTTTAAAGCAGCTGACAAGCTTCAGTACAGCCGCCTGGTACTCCACTGAAGCCTTATTATCAACATGAATGCAGTACACATTTTGTGGCATGTAAATGGCGCGTAACAGGCGCACAAATAGCTCCAGCTCCTTGTGAACGGTCACAATGAATGCTAAAGGGTAGTCCTCCTCCTCACGACTGAGAGGTTTTGTGATGAAGTGTAGGTCTCTGGTCAAGTTAGAACACTGCATGCGACTATTCATAATGTAGCTTTCTAACTGTAAACGGAAACAAAATAGGTATATTAACATCCAAAAATACTTAAAAATGACTCTTCAGTATCATTTGTCTGTATACTATATGTATTAAACCTACCTGGCAGTCACGCCGGTACCTCTCCACTCCCTCCTCCATGCTGGGCAGCAAAGCTTTACATTCAGTGGAGAAGGACCTGCAACTTGGAGGCTCTAACACCTTGGGCTCTCTTGGCATCCTGGTCCTCATGTAAATAACTGAACAGATGATAATACTCATCCCCAGGCACAACAGGAAGCTGCATTTTGTCCCCTCTAGCTGGTGCATAATAGACCTTCTTCCCCGTATCCAAACGCCACCACAGATTCAACTCCTGCAAAAAAGACATCCGATTGGTTATTGCGCTGAGGACCCTGAGGGGTGTTAAACAGGGTTAGATATGTAGGTTAGCACTAATTGATGAAGCCAGTATTACGTCCATTATTAACAAGTATATGAGACATAACTGGCAACACAATGTCTCTTTCTGGAACAGCATTTAAAAGTAGTTTGATATGAATGTTTTCATCCCTGCTAGGATTTTCTTTTTAACTAAGTGGAAATTATCATGTGGTTGATGGTATACATTTAATAATTGCTCAAATATCAAGTAATAATAACAATCTAATACTGGTTATAGTTTTTATTTGAAGGTTAATATTCATTCAGTAATAAAACAATTAACGTTTTGTTTAGCAATACTGAAAGCAGTCGCTGCTTTAATAAAAACATGCTATTATTTTAGGAGTAACATATTCTAGGTGAAACAGATAGCCATAAGCAATATTACAACATTTTTGAAAGATATGAGGATACTTGATATCAAGCTTGCTTTGCCTGTGCCAAGCATTGTTTTGCCTATGTTTGGTTTGTGTTCCTTATCAAAGTTAGCGAGAATTTGCTCTTTCTTGTGTCTTTATCGAAATAATAAAAAAAAAATCCCAAACTTTTCAGCCTGCAACCCCTAAAATAACAGTGCCAGAAACTGGAGACCCCGGGGGGTCTTCCGCACTCTCGCGGGAATATCTCCGCAATGGAGCAAGGCTAAGTTTCACTTTCTATTGCATCATATAGCCCAGCGCAACACCTTCGTCAAACATGTTGCCACTTGTTTGCACCATTTTCAGGCGATTTGCAATCTGTTCTAGAAAAAACAATGGATGTATTTTATGAACATTTATCCATGCTGAAAGTAGATCATTTAGATGTGTTAGGAGTGAGATAGAGATTATATATCTAATATATGCATCTGATGGAGCATTGCATGAAGTCTGTTGATGATCAGAGGCTGTTGTTGGGGCTGCATTAACCTTTTTTTATTTTTGTTTTGTAGACAGACCATGCAGGCCTCAGAGAGTTAAACTTGGGCCTGCGACCATAGTTTTATTGTATTTTGTTTTGAAAATCCACAGCGGAGGTTTGTGCGGTGTATTATTTTGGATATCTCTAGGTAGCCAACGATCTGTGAGTCTGTTAGCTCGGACATAAACGCCGTAATAAATGTAGTCTACTACATTTCATAAGAGGTGTAAAACCTGAGAGCATTTTAAATTGGATTTGAACTAAATGCTTATAATCTGTAGTTGTGTTTGTATTGTTGATTTCATGTGTGAACGAGGCGATGTAGAGAAGGTTAAACTGTCATTATTAGGCTGTAATTTGTTATATACTGTTGGAATGGTAAGCAGGCCTATTGTTTTTGGATATTTGTGGAGTTAGATGGTCCGTGAGTGTTTTTTTTATTGGTTAAGTGGTCTGAAAAAGTGGTCTGAAAAAGTTTGAGAAACACTGCGCTAGTTGATTGTCAAAGGGGGAGCCTCGCTGCTGGGAAATTATACAGATGGCTAGTCCGCCCCTGAAAAATGTCTATGTACACATTATTATTAT